GATATATATATACGAGTTAAAAGAAAAATGGGAAGGAAGAAAAAAAATTTTCTATAGACATGTGCGCTTGATGTATTTCTTTTCTTTGCATCACGACTCAATGACTCATAACACAAGTTTTAAAAAATTTAGATTGTTGAGGAAAACTTTGAAAAATCACATGAACACGCTTCGATACACTAATCGATAATCTCTATTCACAAGAATATCTATGCAATCCTTCACAAATGTATCTTAACTACGAATATTTGTTGAAAATATTCCTTCTAGATCTTAAAAACTTCAAATAATTTTGAAATTTTTTGAAAAATACAAAATTTTCGCTAAGTGGGAAATATATATCCCACCGGGACTGAAAGGGTTAAATTCGAAAGTCGATTTTTCACGTGACCTGAGTAGGACTAATGGGTTAAAAGTTAAATTTTTGTTTGCGCTATTTTAATTGATATGATCTATTTTCCAAAAGAATTTAATAATATTTTTTCAATTTCGAATTCATTTATCTCTTTGTTTTTTTTTAGGATTTGTTCATGAAAACTGTTCATCATTTGAATTCTTCGTCAATTATACAATCCATTCAAGAATATAAGTTCGTTGAATATTACCTTTAATTTTTTTCCATTTGATTTCTATACTTTTACAATGAATGTATTAACTGATAAAGAAATCAGTATCTTTTTTTGACTCAAAACAAAAAACTTGATATGTTATTATCCTTTTTTGTTTCTTTTTGATGATTAAGCCACTTTTCGGAATAATCTTCTGGAATACTGTTTCGGTTCGTAGTATGTTATCTTCGTTTTTTCCTTTGTGTATCGATCAGGTGTAATTTAAAATAAGAATGGATAATAGCAGGAAGAAAATAATACAATTTCATGGCAAATGAAAGATTCATCTTTTCTATTGCATCGTATTATTTTGAAATGACACTACAAAATGGCATAGAAATAAAACATACTTTTTATACAACCTTTTTTTTCAGATAATAACACCCATAGAAGAAATTGATTTTAATAGATCGTCAGAAGAAGTTGAGAAAGCTTTGGATCAATGATCAAAGGCACTATCGACGTTCAATAAATCAAAATCGGATGAAAACATGTAAGAATCGATTCATACATTGTGTCTGATATTATATTTTTGTGAAACACAATCTGAAACGAATATTGAAATATAAAATATTTGTGTAGTTGAAACAATTCTCTATCAGTAGTGGTAGATTCAAAGACTTCAACTGGATTGCTTAGATTAAGATCTTCGAAAAAAAAATTTATTTGATAAAGAAAAATAGGGCGTGATCGAACTCTTCAGATACTTCCTTCATTGACTTGCTTTCGATTTATGAAGAGATCGAAGACTTCTCATTTTGCTCTATCTAATAAGAATTTTTCTCAAAAACTTCGAATAGATACGAGAAATTTGATTTTGACCGTCTTGATTTCCCACAGATTTTCATTCAAGTGGTTTCATTGAGGTCTTCGAGCTTACTAATCCTGATGGAGAATCCTTTTAGCTGCACATCTTTTTGTTTTATCAGAGACAGTGACATGTTTTGTTGATATACAATCAAAGACCATGTCTCAATACCGTCTAGTTAACTACTTCCTTATTGCATTTGGGTGTGGGTGCGGACACGAGACCTCTTCACCTATGCTCACATCCACACCCAAATCCACACCCACACACCCACACACACCTATACCCACATCCTACACCCACACACATCTATGCCCACATCCCACACCCACACCCACCCTATCCTATTTAATTAATGTGTTATATTCTTATTTTAAGAAACTTTTTTTAAAATCGGTTTTGTCTTTTTTTTTTGGTTATATACATTTTCCGCTGTTTTGAAAACACTATTGGACTGTATCTTTCTGAAACACAAGGAAACCAAAATCCCACCTACGTAAATAACGGTAAGGTATAAAAGAGCACATGTTTAAGATTTAAAAACAATGAAATCCACACCCATTCTTACAGCATAAATCATAGAAAGAATATCTTTCACAATTTGGACTTTAAATATATCTTACCCAACAGAATACATGAATTTCGCAATTATTTCAACATTCCGTTCTTGCGCAATTCCCAGTCAAATGGCAATTTCGAAAACACTCGTTGCTACGCAAGGAAATTCAAGAATCTTGCGTGCGCTTGCAAGGCATTTTTAATCTGCTCGAGTTTTGCGCTGGGGCACGCATGTCTGTTTTAAAATATTCGAATCTTGTGTATAAACGCAAGGCAATGGCACTTGCACATATACGCGTGGCAGAATCACATGCGTGCGAACTTAAGTTTATAGGCTTTTTAATAAAACATGCAAAAACATGCAGATTTTTGTGCTTGCATTTGCTCGCGAGCTGTATTCGTGCAAATTTATGCAAGATATATGATTTTCATATAAGCGTAACAGTTTTACCTGCATGTGCATGCATTGTAGGTGTAGTATTTTCAAAGTTTGTATAAAGGTACGCGAAAAATTGTAACTTCAGACACATATGAGCATATGCCATACGGGGCAAAAATCGTTCTTCAGTTTTTATGCTTGGAAACTTAGGAAAAGATGTGTAATTTAAAAGGTTCATGAAGTACACGTTTTTATCATTTTCCTAATATCTTTTCATAAAAGTACATATATTGTATTTTCTGAGTAACATGTATTTAGTCTTAAATGCAGCTCATGTAATCACAATATTCTTTATTTTAACTGCATCAGTGAATTGAAAATAAATTGTTAAGTCATACTGCAACGACCATAAAACATAAGAAAAAGAAAAAACCTACTAGAGTTGTTACATTTATAAGTATAAGCTGATTTGCCATTCAAATCATATGCCAACCAAGCAATAAAAATCTGTTTAGCACACAATAATCGAAAAAAACATTAGAGTATGAATACATTAACGTTACGTTCCAGGTTAAAAATAATAATAAGCATAGTTTTGCTTGTCAATCGATAAGATTATGATAAAATGCTACTATAACAACGCATGCCTAACAGGAAGACCTAACATATTTCTTTACATGTTCGCGGAAAACTGCATTTAAGTCTTCGCATGCGCAAGAATCTTATAGTCGCGTGAATTTGCGTGTCTTATCATGAATAAGTGACATTATTTTCTCAATACTAATGAATATCGGTAAGTGGTCGAATGGTAAGAATGTTCGTCTCTCAAGACAATAAGTCAAGTTCGAATCCGTTTGTAAGTATTATCTTCATATATCACATGCGTGTACATACGTGCAGAATAAGTATTTCATGCGTGTAAATGGCAGCGTACCGTGTACGTGATATCATTCGTTTTTAAATATTTTTTTTGTTGAACATGCGCGATCATGCAAAAGTTATACTGGCGGAAATTCGCATGTAAGCATTCGAAAGTTTTGCGTGAACACGCGAATATAGTTCACCATGTGATGCGTTCACACGCATGCAAGGTTATATTAACACATGCATGGACATGGACTCATTATCGCGCATTTACATGCATTTTTTTACAATCATGTTCGACTGGGTTATTGTCAATGTTGAAATTACCTTTTTTGAATACTATATCATAAGCGATATCGAGAACCCTTCTTTTATTCTTAGAGAAACAAAAATATTTTTAAAACATGCAAAATAATCGTCTTGATAAACGAGATTGTGAACAAGAATCTTTAACACGAATTGCTATAGTAAATAACGATCGATGTAAACCTAAAAAATGTAATCAAGAATGTAGACGATCATGGTTAGTTTATTAAATCTTATATTTTATTTGAATACTTTATTATATTCTCATTATTTTAGTCCAGTTAATAGAACAGGAAAATTGTGTATTGAAGTAAAACCTGAATCAACTAATTCTAATATATCAGAAGAATTATGTATTGGTTGTGGTATATGTGTGAGGCAATGTCCATTCGATGCAATAAGTATTATTAATTTACCAAGTAATCTTGATAAAGATACAACTCATCGCTATGGATTGAATTCATTTAAATTACATCGTTTACCAATACCACGACAAGGTCAAGTTTTAGGTCTTGTTGGCTCAAATGGTACAGGTAAAACAACAGCATTAAAAGTTTTAGCTGGAAATTTAAAACCCAATTTGGGTAGATATTCGGTATTGAAAATAAAAAGATATTATTTTAGATTTAATATTATATATTTAATTTTCATTTGATTTAGACATCACTGGATTGGCAAGAAATAATAAAATATTTTCGTGGTAGTGAATTACAAAGTTACTTTACAAAAATTCTAGAAGAAAATCTTAAAACTGTATTCAAAAGACAGGATGTCGATCGAATTCCACAACTAGTACAAGTAAATTAAATTTGAACGATCAATTTCTTTTCTTTTTTTTTGTAAAAGATTGTTGTTGTTTTGCTAGGGTCTTGTACATAATGTATTACAAAGAACAGATGAACTAAGTGATCAAAGTGAAATATATGAATCATTTGATTTATCAAATGTTCAAAATCGACAAATATCCGATTTGTCTGGTGGAGAATTACAAAGATTTACATGTGCTATGGCTTGTATGCAAAAAGGAGATATATACATATTTGATGAACCATCAAGTTATCTTGATATTAAACAACGCTTGAAAGCTGCTGTGGCTATTCGAAACCTTATTCAAGAAAATCGGTATGTTATGCTGATTGTTGTTCTTTATTATTATACATTCAAATACTGAGGAGTTATTTATACATTCTTCGAAGGTCAACCTATTGTTAAAGAAAAATAGCATGTTTTTAGGACATATGAAAATAAAATTCTTTCGTATACATCAGGAATATAAAGAAGATTCATTATCCTATGTTAACTGTATAATATTTATAGAATGAAATTTTATTTTTCTATATGACGCAAATATAATGGTAAATTTCGTATCATTATTTTACACTAAATAATAAAAAGTACACCGTAACAAGTTGAAAGAATTTTTCTTCATAGTTTAGAGGATTAAAAATTATAGTAAAATTTAACTGAAACTCTATTTAGTACGATATGCATAGAGACCATAAACCACATGCACACCCTTTTTTAATCGTATTGTTTCTTTTTTGGTACAGATACATTATCGCCGTGGAACATGATCTTTCGGTACTTGATTATTTGTCGGATTTTATTTGTATTTTATATGGTTCGCCTAGTCATTATGGTGTTGTAACAATGCCTTTTTCTGTTCGTGAAGGTGAAAAAGACATGAAAATATTATTTACAATTGGTTAATATATGATTTTATTATTATTTTTTTGTTTGTAGGTATTAATATATTTTTGGATGGTTTTATTCGAACAGAAAATTTACGTTTTCGCGATATTGAGTTAACGTTTAAAGTTGTTGAAACAGCGTCTAAAGAAGAAGTTAGACGTTTATCAACATATTATTATCTTGCTATGAAAAAAAATCTAGATTCTTTTGATTTATCTGTTGATGCGGGTTCCTTTACAGAATCGGAAATTATTGTTTTACTTGGAGAAAATGGAACTGGTAAAGAAATTTATAGAAAAATAAATAAATATATAAATATATTGAATTTAGAATTCTGAAACGTTTTCTATTTCCAGGTAAAACAACTTTGATTCAAATGTTAGCTGGTAAATTAGAACCCGATAATGGAGGTTAGTTCATTTATAACTATTAAATTGCCATTTATTTCATTACATTTAATTAGAATGAGAATATATATCCATGTTAGAACGGAAAGTTATAAAGAAATTTATAATTATAAATCAATCTCGAAGATTTTCTACTGAAATATTTACTGAGAAGTATGAAATTTTGATGAAGAGATCGAAATATTAGTACACATTAGATAAACATGAAGTTTTCAAGGAAAATTAACATGTGTCTTTGGAAAATTTAATGTTCAGTTTAATTGAAATTGAAATTTCCATGCTAAGACTCCGTATTTCTTTTAAATATTTAGTCAAAATGCCTCAAATGAATGTTTCTTATAAACCACAAAAGATTAGTCCGAAGTTTACTAGTACAGTTCGTAATTTACTTCATGCGAAAATTGGTGAAACAATGTTTCTTCCACAATTTCAAACGGATGTTTCACGACCACTTCAAATCGATAAAATAATTGATAATCAAGTAAATTTGATATTTGATATTTTTCTTTCGTGTGTAAAATAGTTTATTTTAAGGTTCAAGATTTATCTGGTGGTGAATTACAACGCGTTGCATTATGTTTATGTTTAGGAAAGTCAGCTGATGTTTATTTAATTGATGAATCATCAGCTTTTCTTGATTCTGAACAACGTTTACATGCTGCAAGAGCTATAAAACGGTTAAGAAGATAATAATCAAGAAAAATTGAAATCACATTAAATATTTTCTTCTAGATTTCTTCTTCATTATAAAAAAGTAGGCTTTGTTGTTGAACACGATTTTCTCATGGCAACATATTTGGCTGATCGTGTTATTGTTTTTGATGGAGAACCATCCATCAAAACTCATGCATCTGAGTATAAGAACTATTAGTTAAATTTTTGCTTGAAAAATATTTATTACTGTCTTTATATAGACCACAAGCACTTCTACCAGGTATGAATTCATTTTTAAAACAACTCGAAATAACATTTCGACGAGATCCAAGAAATGGTCGACCACGTATTAATAAGAAAGGATCTTTTAGAGTAAACTTTATTTACAGAGAAGGTTTTTCTTTACAACTAATTTTGTATCTTTGTATAAATTAGGACAAGGAACAAAAATCAGCTGGTCAATATTTTTTTCTTGAATGATCATCGTTGAAAACATATTATCTCAAACACTATTCTCACTGTTTTGATTATGCATTAAATAATCAAATCAAATAGATTTAATTACCAAAAAGGACATAAAACTAAATGGAATCAATATACATTTTATTTGTTTTTTCTAAATATATAAACCTTTGAGGACACAAATATGCTTGATAATGATATTATTATTTACCAATAATAATGTACCAAAAAATATTGAACCAGTACTAAAACAGGAGGGTGTGGGGTGTGGGGTGTGGGGTGTGGGTGTGGGTGGGTGGGCGTGGGTGTGAGTGTGGATGTTCATGTACATCTGTCTAAACACACCCACACCCATACCCACACCCTTCAGAATAACATGAGATCGGAATTAGAAAATTGTAACTGGGAAAAAACTCGTGCCGTATATCTGTCGTTCTGATAGATGCATATAAAAGAATACTCGTGCTGTCAACGAATCAAAATAAGACATGTCAATTTTATAAATATTCGTAAAAGTATATCAATTGAATAAAATATCACACGATTTTAGAAACAAATTCATTTTTAAGGATCGAGTCCGGCACTGAAAAAAACGATTTTGCAGATTTCTACTTCTGATAGAATAGCTTTATTCATTTTATAAAATAGTTTGCCTTCAAAGGATTAATATAATTTAAGTAAATAAAATGATATATTTAAAATCTATTGATATTCGCTTTATTAATGGAGCCATTAGTTTATCTAAATATAAACTACAAAGATATATTTAGAAAATTCTATGATCTAGAACAATAGTGCACAAGTTTATGGAAAGAAATCGCAAAATAGGTGTCAGGTGGAGGGATAAAGATAAAATGTTACTTATTAGTTGTGTTAACTTAGCTTTACTTTGCAAAACAAAAATTTTCTTTAGTTTTCTCTTTCAAAGACGAATATTTTCTTTATTTTTATCTTTATTTCAAAGAAAAATAAAAAATAAATTAATACTCCTCTTACTCATACTAGAGGGACAATCCATGGAAATAAATGAAAAAGTCGATTTTTTTACATTCGGCAACAGAGACCAGTATTAGTTCTTATACTTCTTCATTTTCTCTCAAAGATTATAGTTTTAATGACTAAAATGATTAGCATGACAAGTTCTATCAGCCTCGAAAATATGATCTTATTCGCAGATATTTTTGATTCTTTTCGTCAACTTTCATAGAGAACAGTCGATTACAATAAAAAAGAGAAAATGAAGTTGTGTTTCTGACATATATTCAAAAAAGAAAATAGGATATCATATTATCTTTATGTAGCAGAATAAAATATTTTTTCTCAAGAAACTGAACCATAAGCTAATCAAAAGGTCAACAATCACAGCGGGGTAGACATCCAACAAGAATCTTCTTTTCTGCGAGCCGTTGGAAAGCTTAGGTCAAATGTTGTGTTGTGGATGCAAAAGAAATGTCAGATTTTTTTTCTCTCAATTACGTGATAAGATAACGTCCAATGAAATTAGACGCTTTAGTTGTTTTTTTTTGTTCATACTATTTTAATCTGTCAGCCAACGTTAAATACGATATATTCTCATTTTATAACAGCATATAGTCGTAGGCTTGACTTACATTTGATTTCGATCCATTGAAAATAAAAATCTATTAATTTGTTTTTTCTAACATAAGCGAATGACATGTCGAGTGAACTAATCATCGTTATCGGTAAATATCTCTATATCTAACTTGGATTTTTCCTGCCTTCCGTTGGATCAATCGGTAATTTGTTAACAATCTCAGTATTTGTGCATCGAAAAAAATATCGTTCTCTTTCAAGTTCAACATTTCTGGTCGGATCGACATTTACCGAACAGTTAGTTCTCCTTTCATCTGCTTTTCTAGATTCACTTACTTACACATTGAACTATGATTTCTACGGCATATCTATAGAAATGTGTAAATCAATATCATTTTTGTATTTTGCTGGTGGTGTAGTGACTCTTACTTGTATGTATTTGGTAGCGATCGAACGCTATTTGCAAACATGTCGATCACTGTTTCAACGAGAATGGATGACATTAAACAGAGCTCGATTGCTCGTTTTTCTAACCATTCTAGTATCCTCTGGTATCAGTATTCCTTTTGCTCTCTATCGAGATGTTACACCGAACTATCAATTGTGTGAGTATGTCAATGCTAACTTTAAACGTATGCCTTCTCTTATGTATGCAATTGTTGGTGTTTATATTGGTGATATTTCCAGCATCACTATTGCAAGCCTATTTTTTGATAACAGCCAAGAGCAGTTAGAGAACAACAGCTTTGGATCATTTCATTCTCTGTATTACACAGCTATTGCTTTATGTACATTCGTGCGCTTCTCTTTATGTCTATGTAGTTGTGACACGAACTTTTCGACGCCAAGTAAAAGTCATGTTATGCTTGAAATGACGTCGTTCGACACGAGTACTTCCTTTTACAGAACAAAAGAGAGCAACTAGAATTCAAACAATCGTATGGTGATCAATCATTGTGATCTACTACTGAAAATGTCAATATTCTTCATTCTGACTACTCGTTATCATTGGGCACATCTTATTCATTGAATCCTATTCGATAAAAAATACTTTTCATTTTCTAACTTAATTACAGTAGGGTGTGGGTGTGGGTGTGTTTAGACAGATGTACATGAACATCCACATCCACACCCACATCCACCCACATTCACACCCACACCCACACCAACACCCACCCACATTCACACCCACACCCACACCCACCCATCCCGTTACATTTATTTATACTTAGGGCAATCCAAAAGTAGTGGCTCCATTATCTTATTTCTCTATAGAAAGCTTGAAGAAATTTTCTTTCTTGATGTAGTGATAGAGAATACGATGCTCTATTTTTCTGTGCTATTTGATCAATATTGAATTAATATGATAATAATAAAATTTCAATAAGAACTGTTTTGGTGTAAAACTTCACTAACGGTTGAGACAGGTTAAATGTTTCAATCACTTAATACATTGTATTAAAAAACAAAATATATCACAAAATACAGCGCGAGAAACTTTACAATTTACGAAAGACCGCTTATTGTATAATTGCACTTTTTGTTTTCAAAATGAAACAAAATTTTGGGGGACCAATTTTTGATCATGCAGAAACGATATTTTTTTGGTCTAAGATAAATTCACTTTTTCTTATTGCATCTTTTTATCATCTGACATCTTTTATTTAAGAAAAACAAAATACATCACAAGATGCAGCGTGCAAAGCTCTACAATTTATAAAGTTAAACTTGCTTTAATTATGTACTTCTCGTTTTCAAAAAAAACAAAATTCTGTGGGACCAATTTTCGCTGACCCAAAAAAGTAATCTTTTTTTTTTTATTTCATATATAAAAGAAACTGTTCTTTTGTAAATTGTAGAGCTTTTCACGCTGCATCTTTTGGTATATTTTGTTTTTTAATACAATGTATTAAGTGATTGAAAACTGAAATGCAAAGCATATTAATCCGTCTCACCCGTGAGTGAAATTTCACACCAAAACAGTTCTTATTGAAATTTTATTATGATATTAGTTGAATATTGATCAAATAGCACAGAAAAATAGAGCATCGTTTTCTCTATCACTACATCAAGAAAGAAAATTTCTTCAAGCTTTCTATAGAGAAATAAGATAATGGAGCCACTATTTTTGGATTGCCCTAAGTATATCAAGTTTATTGCCAATAAAAAATCGTACGAAAAAAAGCCAGTCTTAATGCATCTAAGAGGTTTTCTGTTTAGTCACGTTTCAAAACCGTATATATGTGAGCACCATTGGAAAAAGGATTCATAATAAATGAACTATCAGCTAATTAGAATAATAGATAAGAAAAAGAAAATCCTTTATTATGAAAAAAAGAAAAATTTTATTAGAGACGATTGTAATTTTGACTTCGATTCCATTTCGAAAAATTTATTCAGTAAATCCGACTCTGTCGAAGTTGAGGTCGGTGTCAGATTTCAAGGTTCACCGCCGATCTCTACACTTTACATATCATTTTATCTGTTTTTAATAATTGGCAAGTAAATGCACAAACGGATATTTTTGTTGACGAAACTGATGAATATAATTATGCATTCGAACAGTTTCGATAATTTTAGACATTAATAACTTGTTCAACCATTCAATCCAAGATGATTTCTAATATATTCTGCTTGACTGTCATTGATTTCTGCCACTCGTACAGGAAGATGACCATCTGTTGATAGATCCCATGCGCTCATCATACCAACTTTTTGTGCTCAGGCTACTCTTTGGTCAATCGAAACGGTCAGTGAATCGGATGTCAAATGGCACTAGACAATATTCACTGTGTTATGTCGAATTTCTACATAGTTATCGCAATCTTCGTATTTGTTTCGATCAAAATATCCGGTTTCGTTGCATGTGCGATTTACTATATCATTTCAGATTGTGAATAACTCGACCTGTTTAGCATCATACGATCCAATATCAACTGCTTCATGAGCAAAACAAATCCTTATGTGGCACAAACAGCATCATAGGCAACAGGTGAAAAGTGTTTTTGATCATTGGCTAAACACAAAAAATTGCAAAAATGTTTTCAACCCTAAAAACAAAAATGAGTAAATTCATAGCAACAATTATCATAGCAGTGATAAGAGAAAAGGTGCATACTGACAGTAAGATATGATGAGACTAGACTGATGAATCATCCTAAATCGTTCTAAGCGAGTAGAGATAATACAGGAACAAAGTCATTTATTGATTCAAATTTCGGAGAAGCAGCAATACGTGGTATTGAGAAAAAACATTCACACTTGCAAAAAATATTTGGCAACATTTGACAATGCTTCACAACTATAACATAGAGGTTGGCTTTGAATTACTCTAAAATAATAGTTTGCATTTCTATTACAAATCAGTTCAGATCTAATCCATATGGAGTCATATGGAAGAACCCTATCGGAAACTTCAATCAAATCGACACTTTTCAAAAAATCGAAGCAGCGTAAGATTCAGC